CCATCAGAGCCTGGGGCACCTCACCCCAGGGAGGGAATTTCCCTCACCCTGTTGCACTGCTCCTGCTGTGGAGTTGGGGACAGACGTGGCAGAGAGGGGTGTTTTCCTGGGGGGCAGAGGAGGCTCAGGGGTTTTCTCTTCTCCATCGACCTAGGCCAGAATGGGCCAGAGCATGGGAGAAGTGCCTGCAGCAAGAGCCTCCTCCTGCCCCATTTCCCTGCAGAGATGGTAAAGGGGCAGCACTCTGCAGTGCAGCCCTAGGGCAGGATCAGGCCCCAGTGGAGAGCTAGTCCTGACTTCCCCCATCTCAGGAGGCTTCAGGTGCTGTTTTCTGCAGAGGGTCCCAGGGTACCTGGGGGACAACGGCACTGTGATTGGCACAGACACATCATGGGAGGAGAGTGTCTCTCCTGCTGGCAGGTCTCAGGGGGCTGTATCTCAGTGGCCGAGCAGCTGCTTTGCATGGGGGAGCTCCTGGGTTCCATCCCCGGCACCTGCAGGGGTGCTGTTGCCCTGACTCCCCAGCCACAGGCAGGTGTGGGCTGGAGTTCAGGCTCTGGTCATCTCCAGGCCCTGTGGGTCTGTCCTGCACAGCCAGGGCTTGGCTTTGAGGGCAGGAGGGCGGTGGCATGGCTGGGTGTGCTGCCTCGGCCGAGCACTGTCCTGGAGGAGAAGCGGGCAGCTGTGCTGGACCTGAGCTCAGGTCACTGCCCGGCACCACAGAGCCACCCCACCCTGATGTATGAATGAAGAGGCATTAACCAGATGATTTCTCAAGAAAACATTGACTAGATAACTCCCTTGCGAATGAATGAAAGAAAAACAGGAGGAGCCCACCATTGTCCTTGAGATAAGGAAGGAACTACTGAGCCACCAAGATAAAGGAGCTGCAAGTTAGCAACAAACCGCATCCAACAAGGCCTGAAGGACGAGATGTGCGTAACTACAGAACTGAGTCTGCCCAAAAGCAAGGGTCAGCTAGTGAACACAGTGAAGAAGACTACGAGCCTTCATCAGAAGAGCCCTGCCCACGACCACCAAGAGACATTGCACAGGCGTGATGGGGAGGGACTTGGGGCGGGGGATATGTTAATGATTTCTCAGAATTAATTGTAATATTCCCTCCCTATTCCCGGAATTATAATGCATATGTATTAGGACTGATGAATATGTAACTTTGGTATCATAAACTTTGGTATCATAATTTTGGTATCATGGGGCTGCTTTTGGCTCCAGGGCACACACGCTGTGGAGGAGCGATCCCCCGTGAGCCCAGCGCTGAATAAACATACCTACTTTATAACCTTACTGGTTGTAAAGTCATCCTTCTGCACGTCAGTATTACCCTCATAATTAATGGGGGCACAATCACCTGAACTTCAGACGTTGTCCACCATCCTTCTGGATTTTTCTCTGCACTCAGGAATTGATCTAATTTTTCATTTTCTTTTGAATATCTTGGTGGTTCCTTAGGGAGAATTACAGTTCTAGTAGGAATTACTGCCATTTGTAACCCTCATTGTTTAGCTGCATTCTTAGCAGCTGGGTCTGACAATCTATTTCCTTCTGCTACTTTTGTGTTTCCAGAGTGATGTGCTTTACAGTGCATGACTGCTATTCGGGCTGGTTTCTGAACTGCCAGTAACAATTGTAAGATTTCCTTTTGATGCTTAATATTTGCCCCCTGGGAGGACAATAGTCCTTGTTCTTTCCATAGAGCTCCATGGACATGGACTACTCCAAAAGCATATTTTGAATCTGTCCATATATTCACTTTCTTTCCTTTGCTTAGTTCCAGAGCTCGTGTTAAGGCAATCAGTTCTGCCTTCTGTGCTGACATAGTGTTGGGCAGTGCATTTGTCTCTATCACGGTATTTTCAGTTGTTACTGCGTATCCTGCGTAGCGAGTTCCATTCTGTACAAAGCTACTGCCATCCCTGAACAGGGTCACTCACATTCAGGGTTTTCAACAGGGACATCCTTCAGATCTTCTCGGCTGGAATACACGTGCTCAATAGTCGTTATGCTGTCATGCTCGGGTCCTTCTTCTTCCTGTGAAGCACTCAGAAAAACTGCAGGATTTACAAGGTTAGTTGTTTTAGGACCACATCATCTTGTTCCATAAGGATTACCTGATATTTCATCATTCTGCTGGGGATAACCAATACCCCCCTTTTTGTTCCAGCACTGTAACAGCCATATGTGGAACACAAACCGTGAGGATTCTTCGCAAGGTGAGCTTTCTGGCTTCTTGTATCAGTATTCCCGTTGCCGCTACTGCCCGCCGGCAGGAAGGCCATCCTTCGCTCATCGTGTCCAGTTCTTTAGAAAAGTACCCCACAGGTCTCTTCCAGCTTCCCATCCTCTGAGTCAGGGCTCCCAGGGCAAGGTGCTGTGCTTCATGGACAAACAACTGGAAGTCTTTAGTTAAATCAGGTAATACTAAAGCTGGTGCTGACATTAGAGCTTGTTTAAGTTTTTGAAAGGCCTCTTGTTGTCGATCCCACATGAAAGGAACAGACCTCTGGGCCTCATATAATGGCTTGGCTATCAAGCCAATATTAATAATCCAGAGATGGCACCACCCAGCCATTCCCAAAAATGCTCTTAATTCATGCACAGTTCAGGGTTCAGGAATGGCACCAATTGCTTCCTTTCAGTCAGTTCCCAACTTCCTCTGTCCCTCTAAAATCTCAAAGCCTAAATAAATTACAGTTTAGCTTGCTATTTGGGCTTTCTTCTTAGTCATCTTATATACATTAAGTCCCAAAAAGTTTAAGAGTTCAATGGTTACCTGAATACAGGTTGACTTTTTTTCAGTATCTACTAAAATGTCACCCATGTACTGTAAGAGCAAGTGTTCTGCTCATGAGGTCACTGTTTTTTTCCTTTGTCCAGATCTCCAATTCCTTCGCTAGCTGGCTACCAAAGATTGCTGGCTATTCTTAAATCCTTGGGGTAGTCGTATCAATGTCAGTTGTACTTTACCCCCTGTTTGTGGGCTCTCCCACTCAAAAGCAAACAGTTTTCAACTTTTCTGTTCCAGGGATATGCAAAAGAAAGCATCTTTTAAATCAAGCACTCTAAACCACTGATATGTTTCTTTAAGGGCAGTCAGTAAGGTATATGGATTTGCCACTACCGGGTGGATGTCTTTCACAATATGATTTATGTCTCCCAAGTCCTTTATCAATCTATACTCACCCATGGGCTTCTGTATTGGCAAAATAGGGGTATTATATTCTGACTCACACTCTTCTAAAATCTTATATTGAAGAAGTTATCAATCAGCTTCCTAATTCCCTGTTCTTTGATCTTAAAAGGTTCCTGAACCTTTTTATCCTTTATCATGAGAGACATCACTTGATTAATCAGCCCACATTCTTTTGGCCAACTCCGATGCTGTCTGAGCTGTGTGACCATACAGGGTGAGGACACGTTCCTGTGTGTGTGTGGGACAGAGACCAGTCTCCTGGAAGGGAGCTGAGACATGCAGGTGTAGGAGACAGGAGGCTGCTCTGTTCCCTTGGTGGCACAGACAGACGGACAAGGTGCCTCAGGGTATTTCTCACTCCCCAATCTCCCATTGGCCATTTCCAGCTCTGTCCAGTTGATCCAGTTTATGGGTGGTTTTGCTCTGTGGCCATCTCCTTCCTCCTGCTGGTCCTGGTGCCTGTGGCGGGGGAAGAGCCAGCCCTGCCCCAGCCTCTCTTCTTGCCCAGACCTTGGCAGACCCCAGAGCAGGGCTGAAAAACTAGTCATGATAGGACAGAGAGGAAGAAGGCAGAAATCAAGCAAGTGATTGGGACAGAATTTCAATAATGGTCACCACCATGGGCCCGTGGAACCCTGTGTGGGGAGATGTCCAAATGTCTTGAGGTTTCAGTGGTGGACGGTCGTGGTCCCGCGTGCACAGGTCTTGTCTGGACGGCCCTTTTTATACCTATTCAAGTCTGTGGTTTCCATGATGACGGCATGTACCTGCAGTCCCCACACACTCCTGCACATGCGCACACACTACATGCCCATCCCGCTCTTCACGTGACGTCACATGGTAACATTTTAGGGGACTTCTCTGAGACCTTGCAGTCATCGTTGTATGACAGCAGTCCTCAAGGTAAGCAACTCAAGGCAAACAGTCCAGAGTTCAACTTCTCACAGTCTTTGAGACAAACAGTTCATAGTTCAGTCTCTCACATCATCACACATGGGCACAGCCCAGCCCCTGCTCTGCTGGGCCTTCAGGTCTCTGGCAGGAGGCCTGGCTGTGTGAGGACACTGCTGTGTGCCCACACCGTGCACACTCACACTGCTCAGCACTCCAATGGTGTTTTCATCTGCAGGCCTCTTTCCTGGGCATGTTCGTGAAAGCAGCTTTGGAACAAGACCTGTGCCTTCAGGCAGTGCCCTGAGAAGATCACCTTTCTTCATGGAAACGCTGTTGTGGAGGCCAGTTCTGTCCCAGAAGTGCCCACTGCCTGTCCCTGCCTGCGGTCACAGAGCTCCCACCCAGCAGGAATGGGACCAAGCTGCCAGAGCACTCTGGCCTTTCACCAGTGCAAGGGCTGAGAATAAGAGAGTGGAAATGGAGAGTGAGCAGTTTGGGAAACAACAAGCACTGGTTCTCCCTGGCACTGCTGCTTTTCCGGGACACTTTTCCTCTCCACTGCACACAGACACCTTCCCAGTATCTCAAGAGAAGGTTTCAAAGAAGGACCTCAGGCAAGTCACTATAGAGCTCTTTGTTTAAAAACACAGACAGCATGTCTGCTTATTTACAAAACCTCTATGTAAAATGGAATTTGGATAGATATGTAATTATAAATGCCAGAAAGAATGACATTCCTTATTAGACAACATCACTTCAAGTAAAACAAAAATACACACCTCAAATCAACAACCTAAAACAACAGAACCTGAAAGACAGATGGAATTTGCCCATAATGAGCTACATGGTGAGTGATTTAAGGGAGATGACAAGCAGTTTCTGATTTTGAAAATCATCCAGTCATCAGTTTCCACAGTGCCTCTTTGATCTCCTGGTTCCTCATGCTGTAGATGAGGGGGTTCACTGCTGGAGGCACCACCGAGTACAGAAATGACACCACCAGGTCCAGGGATGGGGAGGAGATGGAGGGCGGCTTCAGGTAGGCAAAGATGGCAGTGCTGATAAACAGGGAGACCACAGCCAGATGAGGTAGGCACGTGGAGAAGGCTTTGTGCCGTCCTTGCTCAGAGGGGATCCTCAGCACCACACGGAAGATCAGCGCATATGACAAAATGATGAAAACAAAGCAAACAAATGAAAAACAGACAGCAACAACAAGAATCCCAACTTCCCTGAGGTAGGAACCTGAGCAGGAGAGCTTGAGGATATGCGGGATTTCACAGAAGAACTGGTCCAGGCTGTTGCCATTGCAGAGTGGTAGGGAAAATGTGTTGGCAGTGTGCAGGAGAGAATTGAGCAACCCAGTGCCCCAGGCAGCTGCTGCCATGTGGACACAAGCTCTGTTGTCCAGGAGGGTCCCGTAGTGCAGGGGTTGGCAGATGGCAACGTAGCGGTCATAGGCCATGATGGTGAGAAGATACAACTCTGTTGAAGCACAGAAAAAGAAGAAATAGACCTGTGCAGCACATCCTGCATAGGAGATGTCCCTGGTGTCCCAGAGGGAATTGGCCATGGCTTTGGGAACAGTGGTGGAGATGGAGCCCAGGTCGAGGAGGGAGAGGTTGAGGAGGAAGAAGTACATGGGGGTGTGGAGGTGGTGGTCGCAGGCGATGGCTGTGATGATGAGGCCGTTGCCCAGGAGGGCAGCCAGGTAGATGCCCAGGAAGAGCCAGAAGTGCAGGAGCTGCAGCTCCCGTCTGTCTGCAAATGCCAGGAGGAGAAATTTGGTTCCTGAGCTCTTGTTGGACATAGGTTTTCTCTGGGCATGGAGAGACATTCAAACAGAAGAAGGGAGAGAAGGTATTAGGACTGACTTCTCTGAGCAAATCTTACTCCATTTCCAGCAAAATCCCCAGCCCCCAGACTCTATCCTTCCAGAAGTGCCTTCCTGCTGCTCCCTGGCTATATCTCTGTTGTTTGCTGGCTGAGGGCATGGTGGGGAACAAGGGATTCTGCTGTGGGCTCTGCAGGAGTCAGTCCTGCTGTGCCCCAACAGGCAGAGAGGAACCCGCAGTGATCGCTCCTTAAATCCCCTCATGAAATCACAGAGATTTCAGCACTGTCCCTCAGGGCACCCGGCTGCAGAGCAGAGCTGTGGGGCTCTGCTTTTCTTGCTTTTTCCCCTATTGCCCTGTCCTACCTGAGCAGTGAGGTTTGAAGGCAAACAGCCTTGATATTTCTGCTACACTCAGGAGTTCTGTGGAGATCCCAGGGATGCAAACGGACAGACCCTCAGTGCAGAGTGAGGAGAGCCACTCTGTCCATCAGACTTGCTCTCAACTGCCCTGGGCTTGTACCTCTTGAATCTGGAGGATTGTCACCCCGAGCTCTGCCCTTGAAAGGCAACTCCATGCTGCTGAGAGCAGAGGAATCCACATTAAAAATCCCCTCCCCATGGAAGATCTCTGAGCTTTTAGATTGCTAGCAGATGGGGTGTTTGGCAAAATGGTCAACTTTCTCCACAGCCCATGGAGAGCTTTTCCCAAAGAGCCTCAGGCTAGAAGGGGGCTGGGGCACCTTGCTCCCATGGACATATCTGCATGGCAGGACCTGCAGGGCCAGTGGCTGAGCTGCAGCTGAAAGCCCCATCCCCAGAGAGCCTGCAAACCAGAGCAGCAGCAGCAGGGGCAGGTGGAGAAACAAGGAGAAATGCCCCAATGCTTCTGCCAAGGGAGGCAAGGCCAGGGAGGGACAGACGGGCACTTGGGGGAGTCTCCTCTGCTGCAGCTCTGGCTGCGAAGGAGGCAGCTGCTGCCCTGGAGCCCAGGGCCTGGAGGGCAGAGGATGTGCTGGCTGGGGGAGGAGACCAGGGGGGCTTCTTAGGGAAAATCTCCTTCACTGAAGGGCTAATAGGGCAGTGCCCAAATACCACCCCTGAGCCATTGCTGACAGCCTGTTTCTGTCCCTCCCTGCCAAAGCGTCTTGTGCCTGCAGCTGTCCCTGCCTGGAGCTGATTCTCTGTCCCCTTATCTCCTCCCTGACAGTGCTTCCAGCCACCATCCCACCCACCGTGTGCTCAGCTCTGCCCTGCAGACCCCTCCTGGCAGCAGGACACTGCCCAGGGATAGCCATGTGTTGTCAAGCTGTAAGAGGACACCACAGCAGTGATGGGGCCTTCAGTAGACAAAACAACAGGTGAAAGGACTTAAGCAGTTTCCTCACAGAACTTCTCAGCTCTCACTCTAATGCTGTAGGAGTCTGGGTCAAACATAATAGCTCCACTACTATTCACACCCTCCCAAATACATCAGGAAGCTGTAGGCACAGATCCTAGAAAGCCCCTTTCCTTCCACGTAGCCCCTACCTTGATGTGCTTCTTGAAAACCTGCCTCTGACAGTGTGGTGGGGCTAATATGCAACCCTGATCCACGCAGCAGCAGCCTCTGGAGAGCAGAAGGAGCCTGCCCTGGCGGGGTTCTCTCCTTCCCCCCACAGCTTCTCCCCACAGCACCGTGGGGAGCTCCCCGGGCAGGCTGAGTGCTGACCCTGGCAGGCGGCAGAGTCCCTGCCCCAGCACACAGCCCCCTGGGGTGCAGGGACCCTGCTGGGAAGGACAGCCCTGGGCACCCCTGCCTGCACACCCGGCTGCACACCCCTGCAGCCGGCCCCGCCAGAAGGCAGCCCTCATGCCCTGGCCCTCGCAGGGGGCACCAGGGAGGCCCTGCTCGGGAGCACCTCTTCCTCCTCCTCCTCCTCCTCTAGGTAGGAGGCAGATTCTTGGCAGCTCTGCGCCTTCCCCAGATCCCTCCCCAAGCTGCAGCTGCATTGCCCTGCACCCCCAGACTTACTGTGGCCAGGGCCCTGATGCTTTCTCCTCCTCGGAGCTCTCAGCAGCCTCCCAGCCCAGGCTGCCTTGAAGCTGTGTGTGCCTCGCTGCTCTGCCCTGGGTGCCTGCAGGCAGTGCCCCCAGCCCTGCTGCGCTTTGCAGAGGAGCTGCTCCTGGGCAGAGCTGTCTCTCTGCAGCGCTGCCCACTTGCCAGGAGCTCCCTCCGGCCCAGGAGCCCGGCCCAGCTCAGCACCACAGCAACAGCCCAAGGCAGTTTAATGACCCCTCAGGAGGGTTTGGTGCCAACTCCATGAACATCAAACACAGAGAAGCTGAAGAAACCTCTGAAGAATTCAAAGTTTTATTCAAACTCCAAAGTTTCTTTTGGCTTTAATTGTATCCACTGAGGACACTATTGACAAAGCCTCCCCAGTGTCCTGTTAGAGCAGAAATCTGAAGGCAGTTATGAGAAGTCGGGAACAAAAAGGAAAAGGTGTCTCTGATGCTGAGTAATCCTCAATTTGTTGCATTATCCAAAGTTCCAAGCCCTAAGCCCACTAACCAAATGGCCAAGCCATGACCCCCAGCCCCTGGGAAGGGAGATCCTGTCCCTCCCACATTCCTCAGGGCTCTTCCTGGGGTAGGGGCTATGGAGATGTGCACCTCCCAGGCTCCTGAGGATGCACAAGCAGGCCATGAGGCCCCCGTGCTGCAAGGGACTGTGCCTCCTCACAGGCATCAGTGGCAGGGACAACACCCATAGCCAAAATCGTGATGGAGTTGACTTTATTAGGGTCTTTCAGCTTTCCCACAGCCCTCTGTCATCTCCACCACAGGCTGTTCTATGGGGTTGCACACCCTGCGCCTCTTTCCCTGCAGGCTGTCCTCATCCCCCCAGCTGTCTCACCTTGCTCCTCCCGAGCATCCTCCTTCCTTTCCTGATCTCTCACCATCCTTCCTGGCTCTTCCTTGAAAAACAAAGCCTTGTTCTGATCCATACTCCTCCTGGGTCATGTGTTGCACCACAGCATTTATCCTGTTGTCTAGTCTGGACTTCCCCAGCTGCACAGTATGACATTATTTCTTTCTCATGCTGTTTTCCACTGTGAAGAAAAAGTCCACCGTCTCTCAAACCACCCTTCAAGGGTTCTTGGGCTACTCCTAGACTGTCCCAAGTCTCCACATCACTTAGCTCAGAATGTTTATATCTAAGCATATTGGACATGTGCTTGAGCCCTCTAAACCCCATCTTGGGGTGATGTCTGGGCAATCTCAAAGGTGTTTGGAGATGAAAACATAGTGGTTACAGGTCAAGAAAGATGGAGTGATACTTTTCACCAGGATCTGTATTAGAAGGATAAGCAGCAATGGTGTTAAAATGAAAGAGGGTAGATTTAGATTTGAAATAAGGAAGAAATGTTTTACAATGAGGATGCTGAGATACTGGAACAGGTTGCCTAGAGAAGTTCCAGGGAGGGGAAATTCACCACTTCTCTGGGCAACCTCTTCCAGTGTTTCACCATCCTCATAATAAAGAATTTCCTCCTTTTATCTAAGCTAAATCTACCCTCTTTCAGTTTAAACCCATTACCCTTTGTCCTATCCCTGCAATCCCTGACAAAGAGTCCCTCCCCATCTTTCCTGTAGCCCTGTTTAAGTCCTGGAAGGCCACTAGAATTTCTCCCTTGGAGCCTTCTCTTCTTCAGTCTGAACAAAACAAACTCTCTCAGCCTGTCCTCACAAGGGAGGTGCTCCCACCCCCCAGTCATCTTCACGGCCTCCTCTGGACCTGCTTGAGCATGTCCATGTCCTTTTTATGATTGGATCACAAGAGCTGAAAACCAGACAACAGGGCCAGTCACATGAGAGCAGAGCAGAATGGGAGAATCCCCCACCTTGACATGCTGGCCACGCTTCTCTTGATGCAGCCCAGGACACGGTTGGTTTTCTGGCCTGCGAGTGCACATTGCTACTTCACAGCTAGTTTTCCATGAACTACCAACCCCAAGTCATTCTCCGCAGAGCTGCTCTCAATCCACTCCTTGCCCAGCATCTATTTGTATGTGAGGTTGTCCCAAGCCATGGGTAGGACCTTGAACTTGGCCTTGTTGAACTTCATGAGGTTTGTATGGGTCTACTTCTCCAGCCACTCGATCCCACTGTCCATGACAGCGACAAAGATGTCAATCAATACCAGCCCCAACTCCAACCCCTGAGGAATAACACTCATCTCTGTTCTCCAATTGGACATTGAGACTGTGACCTCAGCAATTTGAGTGTGACCATCCAACCAATTCTTTATCCACCGAGTGGTCTATCCGCCAAATCACTGTCTCTCCAACTTATAGACGAGGATTTCATGCGGGACCATGTCAAGTGCTTTGCACAAGTCCACGTAGATGACGTCAGTTGCTCTTCCAACTGTTCTTTGGTGAGGCCAGCAACAGGCAAGACGGGTGTGTGTGCATGTCATGTTGGTGTGTCTGCCAGTGGGTGTAACTCATGGTCTGAGCCTGGTCGGCAGCCAAACACCACACAGCTCCCACCTGGGAATGGGGAAGGAAGCAGAGGGGCAAAGAGAGACTCATGGGTTGAGATAGGAACAGTTGAATAATGGTGATAAAATAATACGGTGGTGGTATGAACGGGTAATGTACAGTGCAATTGCTCACCGCCCGCCAACTGACACCCAGCCGGCTCCCAGCCAGCGATCCTGAAACACAAAGATGCCACAACAACAATCCCAAAAGTGAGAGCGTGCCCATTCCCACCCACCCCTCCTTTATATGGTGAGCGTAATGTCACATGACATGGAATATTGGCCAATCCAGGCCCGGTGCTCCAGCTGTGTTCCCTCTCTGCTTCTTGTGAGCCTGTGCACAGGCAGGACACGGGGAGCTGGAGCGTCCCTGAAATCTCCTTGTGCATCAGCACTCCTACAGCTACCAAAAAGGAACATGAACTCTATTCCAGTCTGAACCAGG